ATCAAATTATTTTCAACATTCTTTGCTGCACAAATGTTCTTCAAAGCAAGATTTAGTGTGTGTACAACACATGGTGTCCAAAAAATACGAGGATACTCCAATTCAATTATTGACACCTTTGCAATTTGGAGCATCATCGGTTATTACTTGAACCATATTTTCATGACCAATTTCATTTATAACCTCCTTCATCAAGTTAGCAATAAAGTATTTATCTTTCGTTTCTCCGAAACAATCAACCGCTTTTAAAAACATTGGTCCACTCTCGATCACTGCCATAACATTAATTAGTGGCCTTCTTTGTGGATCAATCCATCCATCACTTACAATGGTAACTCATTTTTCTGCCCATGTGCCTTTAATTGGGTTTAATAATCTTTCCACATTTTTTCTCTCTTTTTGAAGAAGAATAGTTCTAAACTTGTTATAATTGGGAGACAAATACCCCGAAATTCGACTATTTGAAATAAGAGTATACGAACTAATGTAATAAGAATTTCTTACAAGAGTAAAAGACAAACCACTTGAATAGAACAGTCTAGCAATTTCAGAATCCAATTGGTCACATGTTGTCACGTTAAAAGCATTTTTTACTGCACTATTCTTCTTCTTTTCCTCCAAAACATAACAATCCTTAGAACTCATATTATTCGACAGCAATGGTACTTTTTTCCCCGCCTTAGTTTGCATTCTCAACTTGGCTTCATCTTCCATTTTTTGCATTTTACATATATATTTCACAATTACTTTTCCACAATCCCCAATTCCATAACCTTATGATTTTAACAAATGTGCACTCACTCTTGTGTATGAACTTGTCTTAGTTGCGTTACAAAAATTGCATTGCCAAAGAATGTTACCACCATTTTCGTTAAACTTATCAAGTTTTGTAACATATTTCCAAAGAGGTTTAGATAAATCACCATCCACAGTATTACGACTCATAATTTCAAAAGAAAAAAAAATTCAAATAGTTAAATAAGATAAGAGTGATATTACCCGAAACTTAAAAAAATAGTTTCTTCTTGATCTTGCAAATGATTCTTCAAATGTGGATTGATGAAATTTTACCTATTTTTTTTGTCAAAGAATACAGCTG